AAAAAAAAAAAAAAAAAAAAAAAAAAAAAAAAAGAAAAAATTAATGCCATGCACGATACTTATCTTTTGTTTTGATTTTACAATTTAAAAAAAAACTAGCTCCCACCACTTATCTTAGCCTTGGGTGATCCGTATAGTACTGATGATGAGTAAAAAAAGCGCAGCGATTCGTTAATTTGCGAAGGAGAATTCAATTACGAGGATTTAAGGGGATTACACGAGGACAGGATTACTGAATTCTTCTTATTTAGGCGGTGCGAAATTGCTCTAGAACCTCCACGACCCAAGCTTTAAACGCAGTCGTCCACTGCCACGCAGTAAGAAATTAACAAAACGAGTAAAAAGTCAACTTTCGATGCGCATCGTTAACTGGATGTTTACCACCCGGTATAATTAATAACATCGCGTGTACGTGAGTCGCAAAGGGCACGTCGGTAAACATAAAGCACGACACACACGCAGTGAGTTGAGAATAGTATCAAAAGTATAATTAACGTCAGTTGGAGCAGTGTTACGAGTCTCAGGGTGGCCACGTGACTGCAAACTCCGGGTGACTCGGCTTTTATATCACAATGGAAAATTTCCGACGCTCACCAACTCTTCTTGCCGCGACTTTCTCGAGAAAAACTTCAGGGCGCATGCGTCCACGCACATGCAACAGAAGAAAATCTTAACGCTCTGTCTCTCTAGCTTTACGTTTTCCCTCAGCCGAACAAACGGGGGTAAATTATCCGCAACTGGAGGGAGAAAATAGAGCTCAGAAGTGGCGAGGGTACATAGTGCGAGTCGTGTTGAACGTATGCGTACAGTCACGAGTTTGTCCACCGATGCGTAAATTACGCGTATGCGCGAGTGACCCGCGTTGAAAAGAAAACGTTCGGTCTCACCGCCGTGCAATTAAACCTTAGCAGAGGAATTTCTTTGCCTCGCGTTTTTACTTTGCTACTGTTCGTACAAGTTTGCGTGCATTGTGGGGCGTTTTCTTAACGAGATTACGCGAGGCTCTCGGTTTGGATGCAAATTACGGCTGATTGTTCGCATCCACTCTCTTTGCTCACTTTAGCTCGAGAAACTACTGCTTTGGGGAGGATCTGAAGCTGCTTTTCGAGTGGTTGTGTTACTTAAGGGATTTTCAGGATCCTCAAATCTTCATTTTTTCCCTTTTTTTCCCGAGTTTGGATTTTCTTTGTCTCCTTGAGTGGGTTCGGGTATGATCACTGAGCTTTGGAAACTGATTGATTACCGTGTAAAACATTTTACCATGGAAATGCAGTGATCTTTGAAGGTCCGTTTGGAGGAAATGAGACACTTTCGTAGTCTGTGGTATTATTTATGTCGCTCGTGACATTTGTGACGAAGGTAATTTCCGCTCTCGACGTGCTTCTGTTGCCCGTTGACTATGGGTAACATATATCAAGTCGCTGGAGCTGGGGCTAGTGTCCGAACACCAACGAACTATAATCTCTTGAAATGTAACAAAAAATTGTTCTTGTATACGTTATAAACTAGCAAAAATTGTTTAAACTAATGTATTTTAGATGAAAGCTCAAAGTAATAAGCTGTTTAGCCAAACATCGGGCGCGTAGACGAGAACAGGGATGCTT